TGGAGTTGGATTAAAGGTCATGATGTGTGTCTGTACAGTTTCCCGGGAAATACAAGCCTCCAAGAAAATTCCAGCCATTGTCGCGAAGGGGACAGACGCATTTAGCAGCTGCTACTCAGACCAATGTGGGGACTAAAGACACTACTGATCTTTCTTGGGTCGCTCTGGATGACTGCAGGGTACGGATAGGTGGAAGGTGAGCGTAGGGTGACCAGATCGCAAGAGTGAAATATCAGGACACATTGGGCGAGCGGGGCGGGGGGAGGGGAGAGGACGACAATGACAGACACAGGTGCACAGAGCCATGAGAGGGGGCCCTAGGAAGCTGCGAGAGGGGTTGTACGGCCCCTGCTGCAGCCCGCACCACAAGCCACAGGGCAAGGACACCTATTGAATTCAATGAGAATTTTGCATGTGAATTGATGTACCTAGTTCTGAGATGATAAAGCCAGAAGGGATCCGGTGATCACCTGGTCTCACCGCCTGTATAGCACAGACATAGATCTTTCCCAAAATAATTCCCAGAGGATAGCTTTTAGAAAAGGCTTTTAGAAAAACACCATGACCCTTAGTATATTGTTAATCGTTAATTACTCTTACCACTGAAAAGGTATGCCTTATATCCAGTCTGAATTTGTCTAGCTGCAACTTCCAACCGTTGGCTCATGTCTACCTTTCTCTGCTAGACTGAAGTGCCCATTATTAACTATTTGTTCCCCATGTAGATACTTACAGTCTATAACCAAGTCACTTCTTAACCTACTTTTTGTTAAGCTAAATAGATTGAGGTCCTTGAGTCGATCACTATAAGGCATGTTTTATAATCCTTTAATCAGTCTTGTGACTCTTCTCTGAACACTCTCCAATTTATCAATATCCTTCTTAAATTGTGCACCCCAGAACTGGACACAGGATTCCAGCAGTGGTTGCACCAGTGCCAAATACAGAGATAAAATAACCTCTCTACTCCTGCTTGCGATTCCCCTATTTAGGCATCTGGTCACCCTATTTCTGTATGCATTTCCCCAGGTTTTTTTGTAAAAATCAAAACTGAACTGCCCCAGAAATTCTGTCATGTGGAATCATCATGAAACTCGCATGGCTCCAACCTTGCCGATGAACCTTTAGATCCACTGCACAGACTTCTGCCACTTGAGCTAATGGAGTAAGTGATGGCAGAGGCAGTAGGTTGTCATCCTATATGTGACACATCAGCTCTATAGGGGGATGAGACACTTTTTTTGCCACTGGGTTTCGCAGATATCTGCTGACAGAAGAGGAACTGTGAAACTCAGGAATCCTGGGTCTATCCCAGGCTCCTGAACGGAGTGGTCTCTAGTAGTCAAAGACCCTTCTTCCCCGTCCCCTCCAGTCTATGTCTATCCTATTGCTGTCTAACCCGCCCCAGCTCCTCATCTGATTTCAACTGCCCCCCACTACCGCTCAGGATTCCTTGTCCCAGTTTCCTGGTCCTGTCTCACTCTCCTCTCTCCCCGCCCCCATCCCTCAGATGGGATGTTCGTTCCAGACTGGCAAAATTATAAGGCTTCCCAACATTTCAACACTTCCCATTCTAAATTTTCGGTTGCTTAACTATAGGCTAGCTCTGCCTACAACAAAGCATATTCAGAACCTCTGATTAAGGGGATTATAAGTGTAGCAACCTCCATCATAGCTAGTCACCAAAGATTGAACCTGAGCCATCCAGACTTAAAAGCATGAGCTTCTACTACTTGAGTTCAAGCTATAACTCCCTTAGCTGGTAGCTATACAGTTATCCTCTAAAAATCCACCACAGGAGGGCACAAAACACAGGTTGGACAGTGAATTACAAAAGTGCCAAATATTATTATTAGACCTGCAATACTTTTCACAATGAACATCAGCGGGGGATCAACTGGGAGTTTAAGAATATTTGGAAAACAATTTTAGACTAACATTCAGTGCTGTGGTTTAAAAGAAAAAAACCTGTTAAAACTCATAACTTAGCAGTATTCAGTGTTTTGGAAAAAAAACAACTTTTAGGAGCTATGGGATACAAGTTAAGAATGTTGAAACAGGAAGATGTTCTGCTTAGTTACCACTTGGGCAAGGCGGCGTGCTATGTAATACTTGCAAGATTTCACTGTAATGTTTTACAATATATAGCAGCGCAATGCTGATTCCATTGATATTGTTGAGCAATTCATGCTGATTTTATTTCAGTCCACATCTTAATAGTTTTGAATACTGTAGATCACAATTTTCAGCTCAGTTGGTCTGAACATGCAGAGCTTTAAAATTGCTATGCTCTAAAGTGTATATTAACTACAATTTGATAAACCTGCATGTCAGAGAACTGTGTGCCACTACTACTAGACAGTGGCACAAGGCAATTCAGTGTGAATCACAGAAATGTAGGACTGGAAGGGACATCAACAGGTCATCTAGTCAAACCCCTGCACTGAGGCAGGACTGAGTAACAACAACACTAGACCATCCTTGACAGGTGTTTGTCTAACCTCTTAAAAAACTCCAATGACTGCTATTCCATAGCCTCTCTAGGTAATTTGTCCAGTGCTTAACTACTTTACAGTTAGGAAGTTTTTCCTAATGTCTAACCTAAATCTCCCTTGCTACAATTTAAGCCCATTGCTTCTTTTTCCTGCATATACTGAGTGGGACGGGGGTGGGTCCAGGCACTGGGATTGGGGGGAGGGAGGTCGAGGGAGTCGGTGGGTGTGTGGGGATGGACTAGGGGAAGCAGAGTGGAGGAACTGAGGGGGATGGGACAGGACTGGGGGGGAGTAGGGTAGGGGCTGAGGGGAGCATGAATGGGACAGGGTAGAGAGAGATATGTAGAGTGGGGCGGGATGGGGGAAACAATGGGACTGGGCTGGGGAAGGTTGGGGGGTTGGGGAGAGGGACAGGGTCTGGAGGGGATGAGACAGAGGGGAGCAGGATTGGAATGGGTGGAAGTTGAGGGGGTGGGACAGCAGGGGGAGCGATGGGGGTGGGATGACGGGGGAGGCTGAAGAAGAGATTTGGGATAGGGCAAGGCTGAGGGCAGTGGGTTGGGGGGAGCAGGGGGACTGTGGGGGAGGCTGTTGGAATGGGAGCAGGGACTGAGGGCAGTGGGTTTGGGGTGGGAGGTACAGGGGGAGACTGCGGGGGAGGCTGAGGGAACAGGGTCAGGGTGGGGGCTGAGGGCAGTGGG